TTCCTGTTGTTGCATGCACTGTTCAGTCGCGTCACTTCATCACATTTATCAGTCATTTGGACGTGTTAAGTCACTCCTTTTATCACGCATCAATCCGTTTATGGCCCCCTGTTACATAATCACAGTTGTAAGTTGTGTCCGGGAGTGAGTTCACGGTCACCTTGATTGGAATCGTTAGGGTTACTTGAAGTCTAAGACCAGTGTGAAACTGTAGATCTCCAGCGTGTGAATAGGAAACAAGCCACATAGATGAATAACCGTGAATCCGCCATTTTCTGTTCACCGAATAGGCAGTAGCCAACAGTCAGTGAGGACATCGGCGATCTTTTGTAGGTTTCCTCCTACATACACAACAGTGTCTGATCGATGATGTCATTGCTTCCCGCGCTGCACCATATACCTTGTCCGTGCAATGTAATTTGCAACATGGATAAGGAAGTCGTTTGAAGAGTGATCCCTGGAGTCTGTAGCGACTCCAGAGCGTATGTGAGCACTAAATTTATTTACCTATAAATCAAATGTCATATTTTGGTTTGATTTGGACGGAAAGAAAACAGCATTAAATGTGTTGTACGTTGATGCGTACCATTATCTCACGTGACACATCATTTCCAAATTCAATTCCTAATTTCAGACGAATGCTGAACAGAGATAAGAAGAAAGCAAAAGAGGCAGAGAAAGCTCGCCGGACACGTGAGGAGAAAGAGGATGCGGAGTTGCCAGAAGATGAGGTGGTCGAAGTGATTCCCGAAAGACCACCAACACCGCGTCTGATGGACACCGTTGTTCAGGTAAGCCACGAGAATGGCAATGATTTGGAAAAGGGATCAGCCTGAACAACAGATTACGTGCGCACTTGTGACCAGCTCGTAATTCCGGTAAACGGTATTCACTTTATATGCAGAGTAAAAATTATTAGGAACCAGATAGATGAGGTTAAATACAAGAATGAACGGAAAAATAAAATAATGAACAAATCAATGCATTATAATTAAACAGATAGACTGATAGCTGGATAGATAGATAGATAGATAGATAGATAGATAGATAGATAAATAGATAGATAGATAGATAGTTAAATTGATGGATGCCACGATGTTCCCGTTGCATCCACATGAGTTGTGATGAATATTTTCACCACATTGATGGAAAACGGAAAATCCATGGAAATTGAGGGTTTTTAAATGATTGAAACAAGCATCTTGCATAAAGATTTCAAATGTAATATTATTGTTCTTTTTTGGGAAACCGGAAACGCTTCTCATGCGTTACAGTATTTATTTATAAAATACAGCTGTCATCAAGTCATTACATCCAAAATGATCTCAGGAAATATGCCGCCTAATCTATGTCCTAGTGAAGTGCTACTTACTGGTTTTTTTGACGAGTTTGGTACAACTTACAAGAAGTAAATCTGTAGCAAGTTTTAAGTGGCATGGAACGGCACTAAGATACTAAATGTTTCTAAAAACGCCCTTCAGGGTGGCCACAGAATGTATACGTTTGCGTATAAATCGTTCCTCGAAGAGGTAGGATTCTGTTAATTGGACACCGACTCCCGATGAACTGTGATCTTCACATGCCACCCCGTTGTTTTGTGAGTGAAGGTTGGTTAAATAAAAGGTAAATTTCTTAGCAACAGACATACTTCATTTGAATAGCGAATTGATTTTGCTGTTGTGGAAACGTCTGCATGATGATTTGCTAATCACACACTTTGTGATCTAGACAAGTGAGAAGTCTATGTATAAATCAAGTAGCTCTAGCTCTTTTTCAATTATCAGTTCTGGAGAGCTCGAATAGAATTCTTCGTCTACACTCAAACCGAGAAAACGCGAGCTAGGATTTGAACTGGAGATCCCCCAAATGAAGCAGAACCGAATAGAAATAAGACTAACTTTGAATACAGTTCATGTTAACAAAGTATTGAAAATCGGTTCTCGTGGCTTGGGTGAACTGAATTCCATTTCAGCTGTTCGCCCCGAGCAATTGGCAATTTGTTTGCAAACGTTTCATCACCAGCCGAGATGACATCATCAGTGCTTGATGATGTGATGAAATGTTTGCAAACAAATTGCCTAACTCGGCTATCAGGCGAAATAGAATGCAGTTAATGTTATTCAAAGATGTATGCAACCAGATATCGCAAGCATCAAGCACACACGAGTTCGTTGTGTTATCCAGTCATTTTCGGCATGGGCCACATTTTAGCCTTCTAATCAGATCACATGCACTTCGGCTCCACACATTGGTTGGAATCTCGAAGTCCCAAACGCCTGTGGGGAAGCGTTCTCACGCTGCGTGCGTGGCGTTATTCGATCGAAGTCAAAGTTTTATTATGGGAATAGCTTACAAGCTGGTGCTTCTCTTGTCCCATGGGATATTTACACAGATGGATCATTACACATCGAAAATGGAGTCACATAGAGTTCTGGGTTGGAGATAATAGAAAATGTAGGCTACAGTGAATTTCTGTTTGCCTTTAGTGTACGAATGTGAGGTGTGCCAAGGTTTTGTCGAGTCTCTGCTTGAAAGATTCAATAGTGGGTCCACAAACGACATGAGATGGAAGGGCGTTCCAAGATCTGAATACTCTGACTGCAGAAGACTGGCGCCGACAATCCAGTCGAGACT